ATTTTCACTGCCAACACAAAAATACAAATCAACATGCTGACAATGTCTGCACTGACGCATAGGATTGTCCCTCTTGCAGAGCTGGCTTTACTGTGCTGTGCTTATTTAAACCATCTGCTTACTGAACAATAAATTCTACCCTTGAGTTGTAATTCATAATGCCAGTGTGTGGGGACAGGAAATAAGTACATAATACAGTTCATTTCAAGTGTCCCTATAGTTATTCAAATGAAAAAACCTTCCTGATGGAAGTATAGTGTGATATTTTTGTAGAGCAGTAGGGAGAACGACACCAGTTCATTTCATCTAAATTGTATGAATTGTAGTTTTCTTTACCCCAGAAAAGGCCCTTTATATTCAAATACTTTATATTTACATCAAGGGGCCGCCATGTTTTTTTACATTAGTCCAGACTGGACAAACTAAATACCTTTTGAGTTTTTATGACAATTAAAGGCTACCACAGGTTCTTTTTAATGTTTAGAAGGAGAGGGTGAGGTGAAGGGTGTAACAGCTGCAACATGAAATTTCAACACTAGATATGACAAAATTCTACACACTGTACCTTTAAGTTATAAACAAGCTATAAATTAAAACCTAGGCCGCACAGGTACAGCTGTTACCTGTTACATTGACTATANCCCCCCACATACGCAAACATACAAAGTTTTACAACACAATACATTCATCCTTATCTGTGTCTTAGAACCTTGAGGGGGGAGACGGACTGCAAAACCTCTGACATCCACATATGCCAGCATCAAAATTTACATCTCCTGAGGACAGAGTGTTTGTTTTTTCAAAGACAAAAGGAAAAATTGGGATTCACATAAAGACTGCTTTCTGGCGACAGTCAGAAGATTCAGATTTGAGTTACATCCTCCTGATCGCATTTAGCTTTATTTACAGCGGATTAGCACAGACATATAGAGAGCAGTGCGTATATAGGATTTATCACATCCTTCAGACCCAGTGTAGGCTTAGAGAGTTCAGTGAGTGCATTATAAACCTTTCTAAATGCTGCATAAAGTATCTCTGCTGATTCAGAGTCTCCTATCTCAAACGGGATTAACAAGGTTTTTGTCATGTTTCCCAGGATGCATCTCGACAGGTAAGATTCATAAAGAAAAGGAGTGTCATGATTAGCATGTCTGACTTAAGTGTTGACACAAGGCCTTACATTGTACTGGTGACAACAGCGGATCGTTTGATGCAAGGGCAAACGATAATTGCATCCAGCTTGAGACGCTTTATGTGCACTTCTGACATCAGCGCTTTGATTTCTCCAAAATTGAGATGGCTTGCTCATCCAGGCAGCTGTAATCACATCAAACAGCGATCCTTGGATTCCTTAATATCAAATGCTGTGTATCTCCAATTCAAATTACGCAACAAGAGCCACAAATACATTCTATGATCAACTGGGAGGTAGAAACGGTCACCTTCATAGAAGCTGCATATACAATAACCTCATAATAGATTAAATTTCCCACTCGGATTATTGTGTCCGTAAAACACAACAACATCGTAGAGGGAAATAAAGTTGAAGTAATATTAGTCAAAAGTAATGGCTATCATTTTGCGGCTGTTTAATATTACTGATCTTGGTATTAGGATACAAGTCCAGCTAAATCTGTACTTCTCTGGCACACCTATTAAAGGGCTGAAAGAAAATAGCTTCCAGCTGCAGCGAGGGAAGCCACAAACCTGGAAGCTGTTTTGCACTAATACCTTTTATAAGAAAAACATGGAAACACTTTTCTACGCCACCAGTCAGAAGCTGAAATAACAAAAATAAAATCCATCTCCCCATTTCAAGACACTGCAAGGGGTTTTCTCCATCCCCGACACTGATATTTATGAGGCATCTGTATATACACACAATATCTATATACATAAAACCAATGTTGACATAAAATCCCTGACATCTGATATATATGTACATTGGTTGAATGAGTAAAGCCAGTAGAGATGACCCCAGGTGGGAATGGTTAGAGATAGAGAATATACACCAAGGTTACTTGCAGTATTTGTTCCTTGAGTAGAACTGAATAGAAAACATAAAGAGTCATCAGAATCTGATTTTCACAGTTGTGTTTCCTGGTTTGTGTGTCCACCCTTGTCCAGGAACAAAGGCTGCCCAGCCCTGGACTGGAAGCTGTGGTATTTTGATATGTAAGTTCTCTTCATGGTATTCGTAGAAAAATACAGTGTCCAAAACAACATTTTGGCTTTGACAGTGAGTGTAAAGGTGACTGCAACCTTTGGTTCCAGCATGATGAACAAAAAATAAAAATTATCATCTTGCATTTCACAGATCCTTCAGTTTTTTCACCTTTTTTCTCCCGTGTCTTACAGCCAACATTAAAAACAGCATCAATCTTGACATAACACAGTATTAAATACAGTTGCACAATTTTCTTTTCCAGAAATATAATTTTACCATATGTAGCTAGTTCTCCCTGGAGGAGACAGAAATGAGCTACTACCCTGTGCACCCTTGTAGTGGTATAGAATCATTGTGAGATACTTAGATAAAAGAAATATATTAATCTGAATGAATCATTGACTCTGAATGGTCTACTTGTCTTTGCCAAACAGCGCTAAGTTTTACAGCAGTAAAACTGCTCAAATGTAGATGTACAAGAACTGCACTGATGCATCCTTAACCTTACCTCACAACATAGCTCTGAACATCACATCTCTGTCTGTTTTTAATTGTATCACAACACACCCAGCAAATTACTTTTTAGGACAACAAGTGTATTTTTTTTATCCTCCTTCTCAACATTGGGAGGTGAACAGGAGAAATGCCTCATGCACGTTCCCAGGAACATGTACTTACACATGCAGTAGGGTCTGCAGACCATGTGAATTTGAAAGTGGTCTCTAACAATGTGTTTTTTTTTGCAGTAGCTCTCTGCGTCAATGTAGTAGCGTCACTGAAATTAATTTAGGGGCAATGTTTTTTTTACATGCAGTGCTAATATTAGTCTGAACACAGCCTAAGCCCATAGCTAACAGATCAGTAAGCACTGAATTAACACGGGTCTTACCCCAAGGCCAGGGGTTCTGTGAAAAGCTGACAAGGATTGTTAGTACAGGTGGCAATTTGGTATCAATTTCTCTACCAAAGTCAGAGCAGTCGAGTGCAGCCAAGCAGCAGCTAACCCAACATATACTGAGATGGTTGTTTTGCATGATTTAAAGCAAATTATTTCTATGACAGATTGGGAACGGGAACTGCTTTTATACTCCTTTACTCTGTGGAAACTGCAAAGAGCTGCAACCCTTCCTCTCACCTTGGTAAAGAAAGGAATCATGAAAGTCATGCCAGTCAACCACAACATGCGCCCACGCTGATCTAATTAATCTTGTCCATGGCAGATCTTTGTGTACTTGCATTTGATGACCTATGCAGCAAGGGGAAAAGTACAGCAGTCCTTGTTGGACAAAAAATGTGGTTGAGCTCAACTATGCTCACTGTGCATTTTTTTACAGGGATAATTTGATGACCTTATGTCTCTCATGTTACAAATCTTTTTATTGAAAAACAGGCCCACTCTTTTCAAAGAGGCAAGAGCTTTAAAAGCAAGTGGCCCATATCCATGCAAGACATGAAGCTCAGCTTTAGTTCAATCAGGAAGATTTTCCCTCATTTAATCAATCACAATTGCCTCACCTTCTCTCTGCTTATTAATCAGCTTTTCGTAGGCATTTTTTTAATGGCCAATCAGAGTCTGCCACAATCTATTCCAGTCAGTCATGCGGTTGCTGTCAAACTTTAAATCCCTTCATCACCACCATGTCAGGATCCTCAACCACCATCAGTGTTTAGATCCCCTGTTGGCCTCACATGCATGCACACCATATTCTCTGCAATCAAAGATTGTTAGGATTATTTTAAATCCAAAGGGTATGATTAAAGTATCTGCTTCACACATCAATTGTGGGTTTAAAATGCCCTGTCAGATTTTGCTTGTTCCAAATCTTAGCAATTACTTTTTTGTTATAACCAAATTGATCAAAATAAGACCCAAGCTGTGAAACTAAAAAGATGCAATTATCACTTTGTTTTACCTGATTGTACCTGAATAGCCTTGTGAAAATAAAAGATACAAATACATGAACCCAACTTCTCATCTTCCTTGTTCACTATGTTAATAAGAGCCACCTCCCTGTATTACTACAGCTTTTATAGCATGGCTGCCGACAGCCACATAACTACAACCTTCTTCTAAAATCTGATAGATTTACATCTGATTAACACTGTTAATATTATATGTAAAAAAATCCAATAAAAAAGCTTACATTCAAATATGTGTCTTAATGCTTCAAATGTTTTTTACAATTCAAAAGTTGGAGCTTTTTTTCACAGCTGATTTCAGAAACTATATTTTGGTTTATTTGCTTTTCTGTCGGTGTCTTGATGATTTTTATCGTAAGGTCTCCAAATGAGCATACAGATTCTTCTGCTTCTTAAATTCAGTCATGTCTTTTGTGCTGGACACAGCTAATTAGGCAAGATTGGCATCAGCAGCTCCTCTCTACAGAGGAATTAATCAGCAACAACCCTGGGGTAAATTGTCCATGTTCATTTTTACACATGTAACAAAGGGCTCACTAAGCCAAGTCTTTACCACAGCGCTTTGTTCCTAACAACATTAAAGGGTCCATTTATGAAGATGAATGCTGAGGTAGTTAGACACTGTAGTTAAAGTAATAGGTCTTAATTCAAATCTTTTATCGTTAATCTTCAGCAATCAGGGTGCATGACTAATTCTCTATTTGATAACATCAGCAACTCTGTGGGTCTTCATGCATGAATATATACACGTCTAACATCAAATATAGTACTTTTAATAAACATATAAAAGGTAGCGTAGCAAGCACAAAGTTCCGGTATCGGCTCCTTCCTCGAAATCCAGCTTGAATTGATTTGCATTTTGACTCTGGATTCTTTAAGTGCTGATCAGTAAAGGTGATCAGGCTAATTTGACCTGATGAAATATTGATGTACACATCTGTTGTTGCATGCTGGCTGTTTGACTCACTTATCCTTCTGTGTTGGCTTCTAACTGTAGCCATGTTTTTTTTGGCAGTATCACATATTTGAGGCATGAAGCAAGTCCTTCATTTTTAAAACTTCCTGTTCCATTTCCCTTCAGTCAATATTGATAGTTTTGTCTTTAATTATATTTAAATTTTTTCATATCTTCAAACCTTCATATTTTGCTGTCTTTCCTGTTTTTTCACCTTCTCACTGTGTGGGTATGTTTGTTACATTAGAGGAAGTCGCTCTGCATCTCGTTGGAGAGCTGACTGATAGCCACCTCGTTGTGCAGAGATCCTTTAAGTATCCTTGCAGTCTTCTGCGGGCCGCTGTCCGTAAAGTTTTCTCTGGCACCAATGACTGTTTCAGGGCAAGGACAGTGTCTGCAGGTCTTGTGGTTCTCTGTGAGCCCATTGGACAATCTTGTTGAGTTGCACTCGTCTTTATGATTAGAATGTCTGCAAGTTCCCTTTTGTGCAGTGCTGTGCTGACACAGACTTCCACAGAGTGTCCTCCTGCACTGGGCCATATCGCGGCACAGGGACTTGCGGAAGTTGGGCTTGAAGACTAGGTAGACGATAGGGTTGTAAAGGGTGGAGGACTTGGCAAAGATGGCTGCCAGGGCAAAAGCCATGGGTGGTACAGTTTCTGGGTTACCAAACCCTGCCCACATGGACACAACAGCATATGGACTCCATGCTGTCAGGAAACCAATACAAACTGCGACAGAAAGCTGAAAAGAGACAACAACACACAACATAAATATATATATACATATTTATTTATTATATCAAATCTTGGATATTGAGCCTATACAGCATGCAGTTACCTTAACGATAAGTGCATGTGCATTGGTGATCTTGTTCTGTGGGGACATATGCTGCTGCACAGCCTGACGGGAGCCCCGCACGGTCAGCAGGATGAATGTGTAGGACAGGAAGATGACGGTGCACGGAATGATGTAGCAGAAGAAGAAGAGGCAGATGATGTAGGTCATAGCTGCAGTGCTTTGGCTGGGTGCATGCCAGTTGATGCAGCATGCAGTCCCGTAAGGCTCGGCCCCGTACTCTCCCCAGCCAGACAGGGGCCCCACAGCAAAGACTCCAGCATAGCACCAGATCCCAGCAACCAGGAGGCAGGCATGGCTATACAAAAACTTGTTACCTGAGGAATGTAACCAGGCAGAGGAGGGTGAGTTCAGGGGAGCCATTACTGACAAATGAAGACACAGGGGAAGGATAAGAAACAACAGTATAGCAACAATATACGCCACTAAAGCACATTGGGTCTGGTAGCCTGATGCTGGTAACCATTGATGTGTGAGGAGGAGCGAGAGGAAGACAGAAGAAGAGAAAGAATTAGAGAGATATCGTGCAATGAGTGATGAAGAACGTTTCCCTAACAAGGGCTTGTTGACGTGACAAAGAAAAGAGAATGGTCATTTTCTTTTGTGCTTATTTTGACGTGAACTCTGACTCATTTGGATAAGAGGGCACATAGCCCACAGGAATGCACATGTGAAGTGAATAATCTTCATAATGCCACAGACCCAAATGTCAACATTATTCTGTGTAAAGAGAGAGAGAAAGAGAAAAAGAAAGAGAGAGAGAGAGAGAGAGAGAGAGAGAGCGCTGCATTGCAGGTTTACTTAGAGATTAAAAGTATGTGAGAAAAACCCTTTGAGAACTGTTTTCCTGTTCTTGCCACAATCTAAGCACTCTGCACAAAGGGCCTCATATAAGGAAACAGTAACTACTGTCAGTATTAACTGTTTGTTTTCCTCATACAGGGACACGCGTCAGGAAAACTTAAGTGGATCGCAACGTTATTTTTGCTCCAAGTAATCATGGATCTGGATCTTTGTTCGAATAATGGAATCTGCCATAGTTGCATTCAGTTTCTTCCACTATATTTTTCAAAACCCTTACTGACTTTTACTCACTCAATGATAATATTTTTCCAGCTCAATATTATATCTGCACCAGGATTTCACTTCAAGTGTGAGCCACTGTGCCACAGCATCGTATTTGTGCTTTATTGCCATATATGGTGTGGGAGATCGCACAATGCTTTCTAACTGGAGTACCTCACGATCTCGTTTGCTTTACTTAACTGAATTGACGATGGAGTTCATTCAAATAAAAAAAAAATCACCAGAGCGTTAGTTAAAGGTCCCTAATTCCTACTATCGTTCTCTATACTCACCACCCTTATGATGACATGATACACATAAAGGACTAGTTTTCTTTGAATTATGGATATTGCTGCAATATTATATACTTAGGAGCTATTAAATGTACATAATGTACCTTCAACCACAAAGAGAAGAAAAGTGACTCCTTGAGAAAAAAGGTAAAAAAGCCAGTAAGAGTCTTCTGTGATTGATTTAGACAAGGGCTTCTTCATTGAGGACAACACAGGGAGCTTTATCTAAGGTACCACACAGCCTCTTGAACTGGATGTCATCCCCTCTTACAGTTCATGGAGAGGGTGGGTGGTGGTATTGATAAAGCCCTGTGGTGCTTGGGAAGCTAGGTTAGCTATTCCAGAGGGTTGTGACGCATCCCTTCCCTGATCAAACTCTCCAGCTATCTGATTGGCACATGAAGGATTCAACCTGAGCTCTTTTTATTCGGGGGCTGAACTCAATTTCCAACAAAAGCCCTCAAAGCTCTCACATTTTAAACTGGGATGCAGCAAACTCCCCCCCCCCCCCTGTAAGAGATTCAGATACCTTAACTCTGACTTCCAATCTTATTCCAACTCTCTGAATTCCATGAATCATTTCTTCAATAAAGGTTTATTTTGTGGGCATTTGGCCTTTATTTATCAGTGCAGAGGGCAACACGAAATTGTGGTTATGTGTTATGCTCCTAGTTATCTATGCTGCTAATCTTTTGAGGGTTGCGGGTGAGTGTGATTGAGATCTGCACAAGCTCAATGGTACCTGAAAGGCTCAATTTCCAAAGCCAATACAACTTATCGTCAGGGCAAATCAGACACATTGATTCTGTTGTCAGTTAAAAGTGAGTCAATCCTCTTTAGCTGTAAGGGCAACCCCCAGCTTCCCTCTTCATTCTCTTTTATTCCTGCCCCACCTCCTTTAGGACCCCTCCCCCCTACTTCAATACAGCGCTCACAGGTTCATCAGCACTCATGCTAATCGTGGTGGATCATGGTGGCAGCTGATAGTGGATGGTGGATTGTGGATCGTGGTGGCAGCTGATTGTGGACTTTGATTCCAACAAGACTGCTTGATATACAATAAGCTTACTCACATATTCTACCATTACTGACAACAACTCCTCAATTCATTTTTCATTGCTGCTCCCTTCATATTTACCACACATTTTCTAATGTATAAATACTTTCACACACTTTTCATTGTTTCACGTTTCTTCTAATGAATAGAAGTTATTTTGTTGATGCGTTCAGTTACATGTGGTATTTATTGCACTTCTGTCCATCCTGGGAGAGGGATTCCTCACATGTTGCTCTCTCTGAGGTTTCTACGTTTTTCTTGTTGAGGGTTAAGGGCAGAGGATCTCACCCCTTGTTAAGCCCTATGAGACAAAATGTGATTTGATTGATTGACTGATCGACTGACTCATGGGCAGCTTTAAATGAACCCTTACAGGATGCACTAGATCCATGTGCTGTTGTTCGATCAACAATTGCAGGGTAATTTGCCAGCAGGGATCTATTAAGAACAGCAATATCCACGTGATGTGGGAAACTAAGAACTAATAAAAGAGAGACAGGAAGAGGCACTCTCTAATAGGCTCACCCTTTTCCTTAATGCTACCGCTCTTCGACTACCTTAGGTTTCATCAGCTGCACCTCGGAGCGTGTCCTTTAGTGCTCCTGTGCATGTTAAACCTGCATGTGCTACGTGTCTCCATGTGTACATGTACAGAGAGGAGCATGTTTACCTGTATAGAGAAACTTGTTCCTGATCCTTACACTCGTGCTTACTACTGCAGCAAGGAAATCGTTCCGGCGGATTTAGAGCCTCGGCTGATCTTGTTTTATTACTCTGTATTTTTGATATTCACACTCAATTGCAAAGACCAATCCTGGGAGGAATGTTTAATCTTTGCAGAAACTGTTTGCTGACCAGTTCTAAGAAGACATTTTTCAAGACGGCATGCTCCAGATAATAATCCCAACCAAAAATATCTTTTTACACAGTCAGTTTTATGTTTTCTCTTTTCACAGCAGCGTAGGAGCTGTTTTATATTTGAATAGTGTAGTTTCTTCTGTTTTGTCATCGCCTGGCTTCTTATTTACATACAAATGAGCTTCATTTACCTAAAGAAATCAAGCAAGTAGATGAAGTAGCATTTTGGCATTTGGCTTCGAGACATTTTGATGTTCGGTTCTCCAAGCAGAGAAACTAACAACTTATTTAGTGCCTGCAGACAATAAATGTTTTTTTTCTCTCTTCTTTTATTTTGTGAGTTCAAGTTTTACATTCTAACACATAACAATTCAGCGGTAATCGTAAAGAAATGGTCAAGTGTCTGGAGTAAACTACTTAAATGATAAGTGAGCTCACTAAAGAGAAAGAATTCTGTAATGCTACTTTAAACTGCTAATGGTGCTTGAGAGATAAAGATGCTGACGCACTGAAGTGATGCTCCCATTAAGATGACTATAAACAACGTTAAAACAATGTGACTTCAGGAGGTTATTTTCAGTTTATGCCCTAGAGGAATGAAGAGTCCAACAACAACTTTCTTTGGAGATTGTTTTTGCCTTTTTACCTACACACCTATAATGTGCACACACTACCTTAAAGTGTTTAGTTTGGCCTTTTTGTCCCACGTCCCCTTATTACTTTTCCAGTGAACACAGGAAACTAGTGCCAGATAACAAAGGATTAATTTTGAGTATTGATGTAAGTTTTTTCTAATTTTATTGCTTAAGTCTGACAGCAGGACTTTAATCTCCACAGTGTTAAAATGTATTCTTGTATGAAAACAAAAACAACTTCAGGAGTGCTTATTTTTTTAACATGCACATCTGCATGACTGATATTTATGAGAATGTGAAATTTGGTGCAGCTCCAAGTAAAAATACAGATCTGGTGAATTTAAATGCAGTTTAATAAGAATAGAAATAGAAATGATCTGTGTTTAAGGTGGATGACTGAAACTCGTGACTGAAACACTTTCCTGTAGAGGAGATTTAATATTGTGCTGATGTGAAACTGCTGCTGTTGCAGAGCTGCAATTATTTTCTGGGAATTTGGGTCACTTTTTGTTTTTATCTGTGTTTCACCATGGTAACTTACTGTTATTGTACACAAACTACTCAAGAAAAAAATAGTACAGTGTGTCTCGAAGTGGCATACATTCATACAAGGTTTCTTACAGAGAAATCTCATGAAGGCATCATCATTTGTGCTCATTTGCATTTCAAAACCCTTATTTGTGAGGCTTGTAGCCTCTGGGGTTTTAAACTTTGCATTACAGACTGTTCCTCCAGAAACTGGGAAATAGCCTTTTTATAAACACAGCCCTGACATTAAATATTGTGTGCCTAGCAGGAGCAATCGCTAAATTCATAGACTGGAATAGATTTCAGATTTTATTCAGAAGTTGAGTCAGACAAGTCAGATGCTTCCATCTTATCACTTCCCGCAGTTTTACCTCCCAGCTGGGGCCTGCAGGGGATGAGAGGGCGATTCTGTAGAAATTTGGTGAAATCCTGATGCAGGACGGCAGTGTTTTTAACAGGTAGAGGGAGAAAAAGATCATTTTTGCATCTCAAAAAGAACACGTATGATATTTTCTATTCCTTCTGCTACATGCTGATGTTGAGTTGTGCTAATTTATTCCTTCATTAAATCTGCCTGTGGAGGTGAAGGGGTGGCGAGAACCTTCACCTGCACCACTGAGGATCAATCAGCACAGGTGAGAGCTGTTAGCTGATTGATCCTCAGACTTGAAAAGGAGGCAGCAGAGCTGCCTCGAGAGAACGCACTAAGAACACACGCTGGGAGAGAGAAGGACACACACTGGGAGTGAGATTGGTGAAGCTGAAGGTCCAGCAGATAGTGCTGGACCTGTTAAGTTCCATGTTTTGTGTATGTTTCAGTTTCACATTAATAAAGAGATGTTGCTAAACAAGCAATGGTTAGACTGGTTYGTCTCTGGCTGTCGTGAGGGGAACCCCGTGGCGTGGTCGAATGCCACACTGCCTTAT